GGAGGATGGCCCAGGTGCTTGGGCCCTGCACCCCATGGGAGACCAGGAAAAGCACCTGGCTCCTGGCTCCTGCCATCGGATCAGCGCGGTGCGCCGGCCACATCGCGCTGGCCGCGGCGGCCATTGGAGGGTGAACCAACGGCAAAGGAAGACCTTTCTCTCTGTCTCTCTCTCTCTCACTGTCCACTCTGCCTGTCAAAAAAAAAAAAAAAAAAAAAAAAAAAAAAAAAATCCGATACTAAGCCCAAACCATGGGCTATCCCAGTATTCCAGTATTCTGTCTGGAAAATGGTACTTCAAAATATTTTGTGGGGGTCAAAAAATGATAGCCTCTTCCTGTTAAGGTTAGGGACATACTTAGAAAAATGCTTTGTTTTTCTTAAAAATCCATTATTGATTTTCCCATTTAAGAGAATTTGGCAAATTTATATGGCAGTACAAGTCTGCCTTTGGTACTGTCCAGTCGATGTGTTTCACATCAACCATACCTTTCCTTTCCCCAACCTATCTAAGCTCCCACTTTGCTTCAGATCCTTTTGTCATAAAAGTCATTGATCTTGGGGCCAGCGCTATGGCGCAGTAGGTTAAAGCCCCAGCCTGCAGCACCAGCATCCCATATGGGCACCAGTCTGTGTCCCGGCTGCTCCACTTCTGATCCAGCTCTCTGCTATGGCCTGGGGAAGCAGTAGAAGATGGCCCAAGTCCTTGGGCCCCTGTACCCGCGTGGGAGAGCTGGAAGAATTCCTGGCTCCTGGCTTCAGATGTGCACAGCTCCAGCTGTTGTAGCCATCTGGGGAGTAAACCAGCGGATGGAAGACCTCTCTCTCTCTTTCTGCCTCTGCCTCTCTGAAACTCTGCCTCTCAAATAAATAAATAAATCTTTAAAAAAAAAAGACATTATCTTTTAAACCAAGTTACAAGTTTTCAGCAGCTGAAAAAAGCTTCACATTTAGAAGGTTCCCAGGGGTTATATGCATTTTAAAAGACAGCCAGGGCAGGCATTCTGGTACAGCCTGTTAAGCAATTTTGAGATGCCCATATCCCATATCAGAGTGCCTGGTTCAAGCCGTGGCTACCCCATTTCCAATCCAGCTTTCTACTGATATGTCTGGAAGGCAACAGTGATAGCCCGAGTACTTGGGTTGCTGCCATCTGTGTGGGAGACCTTGGCTCGTGGCTTCAGCCTGGTCCAGCCTTGGCTATTACAGGTATTTTGAAAGTGAACCAGCAGATGGAAAATATCCCTCTCTCCTTCCCTCCCTTTCCCTTTCTTCCTTCATCTCTCTCTCTCTCTCTCCCTCTCTCTCTCTCTCTCCCCCCACTCCAGTCACTCTGCCTCTCAAATACGTAAGTAAATCTTTATTTCTTTCAAAAACAACCAAATGGAAAACAGTTGAATATTTTAAAATGGCTTGTTCAATTTGTTAAAAATTACTGTTGGATTATGGTAAGCACAACTATAACATACTGGTTTTAAAACATCTGGAGGCCAGCGCTACAGCTCACTAGGCTAATCCTCTGCCTGCGGCGCCTGCACCCGGGTTCTAGTCCCGGTCGGGGCACTGGATTCTGTCCCGGTTGCTCCTCTTTCAGTCCAGCTCTCTGCTGTGGCCTGGGAAGGCAGTGGAGGATGACCCAAGTGCTTGGGCCCTGCACCCACATGGGAGACCAGGAAGAAGCACCTGGCTCCTGGCTTCGGATCAGCGCAGTGCGCCGGCTGCAGTGCACTAGCCATGGAGGCCACTTGGGGGGTGAACCAATGGAAAAAGGAAGACCTTTCTCTCTGTCTCTCTCTCACTGTCTAACTCTGCCTGTCAAAAAAGACAAGAAAAATCTGGAAAGATCCAGACTGGGATTATCTTACAAGTGTCTAAATTTTCAGTCAATTTAAAGAAAGACATTGGGAAATGTGATGCAACTTCTAATTTATCAGGGTAATGAAGCAGAACTCCAATTAGATAATCTACTCTCTAAGAAAAAGTCTTGGAACTTCACCAAAAGATTGGTAAAGCAAATTACAATTACATTTTTAGTTAAAAAACACACTTAAAGCAAGTTTTTTTTTTTTTTTTTTTTTCCCAAAGGTTCTTTATATTACTGATTGGCTGACCAACTACCAGTCCCGACTATGGGCAATAGGAGTATTTCCATCCTAAATCAGATCATTTCTGATATGGGCAAAACTGGGTAATGGGCTCAAGTGTATTGGAGCAAATATACTTTAATTACATGGTCTCTCAGTTGGTGTTCTGGATAATCCTAAGAGACAGGGCAAATCCTCACACACTGATTTTGTAAGCAAGGAAAGAGGCTCTCAGAGTATGTGTTCACTGGACAAGCAGGATCAGAACTCAACTGCACTGACTCTGTCTGATATTGTGCCAAACACACAAAGGGACTCGGATATGTTCCAGTGGTTGAACATTTTTAACTAGATGTGCAAAATCTTTTAAAACTGGAATTGTTTAGCATGGTTCATGTTGCTGCCAATGGGATCTGCCCATTGAGATGGACTAAAAGTCTAGATACCTTACTCTTTATTTTCAAAGACAGTATCTTGGGGCCCACACTATGGCGTAGTGGGTAAAGCCGCCGCCTGCAGTGCTGGAATCCCATATTGGCTCTGGTTTGAGTCCTGGCTGCTCCATTTCCGATCCAGCTCTCTGCTATGGGCTGGGAAAGCAGCAGAAGATGCCCCAAGTCGTTGGGCCCCTGCACCTGCGTGGGAGGAAGCTCTTGGCTTTTGGTTTCGGACTGGCTCAGCTCAGGCTGTTGCAGCCATTTGGGGAGTGAACCAGAAGATGGAAAACCTCTCTCTCTCTCTGCCTCTGCCTCTCTGTAACTCTGCCTTTCAAATAAATAAATATTTTTTTAAAAAATATATTTTCTAGATTTTGTTTCCCTGTTTCCATTTTCACCTCAGGCTGTTGAACATCAAAGATATGCAGGCAGATTTGCCTCTTGTTCCTTCGTTATCTAGAATTATCATCAGCTGGGCTAGAACCAAACCTGGAAGAGGAGAAAAGGCAGCTGAAAAATAGATCTTTAGAAAGTACGAAGGATGCCAGTGAAGCTCTAAAAAGGGGGTTGGGAAACTAAGGTCTATACACTGAATCTGTCCCATGGCCTGTGTGTGGGAATAGTTTTATGAGAATACAGGCATGCTCATTTGCTTACACTTGGTCTACGGCTGCCTTCCCAGGCAAATTAGAAGGGATGAGAGTTGAGTAGCTGCAACAGATATCTATGGCCTGAACTCATTTATTACTTAGCCATGTATGGAAAAAGTTTGCTGACCTCTATTTGAATCATTAACTTGCTTCCTTACTTTTAAAGATCTATAGTCAAACAACATCCAAATATTTTTTAAAACCAATGTTCTCTTTCAAAAACAAGACAAAAACATCCCACTATGTTTTAGTCCTAGTAATTTCTGTAGCAGCAACCAGAAAGAGAAAGTAATAATGACTCTTTATATTCTGCTCAGACACATCCTGGGTACTGCCCAACCATTCACCACTTCCTGCTTCTCATGCCAGGCACATCTCTCACACTCCACAAAGGGACAAGAAGCCTTTGAAAATTTAACACTGGGTTACAACAGATGAGGTTGTGTTGTCTTGCCAGACTCATTCCAAAATGTCCTGTGTGACTATTTGTACAAAGTGAAGCTTGCTTTGATAAATGTAAACTCCTGGGGGGAAAAAAGTTATTTGAACAAGTGTGAGGGCTTTTTTTTTTCTTTTTGTATAGTTTATAATCTGGCAAAGGTTGGACAAAGTCCAAATGATCAGGGCAAATTATATTTTACAAGAGATATTTGGAAATTGTTTACTCTTCCTTAATAACCTTGATAATGAGTTAGCAATCATTTACCAGGCATGTGCAAGATAACAAGCACTATACTACATGCTTAGCATATGATATTTTTAATAATCTGTGGCAGAGATGCAGCATTCCTAGAAACAATATAGTCTTTCAGAGTCTGAAATCCTTTACAGGGTTTAAAATGAACTTTTACACAATGTCTTTGGAAAGCTAAGAAATGTCAATAGAAACTTACTTCTATTTATCCAGCTGTAACTGTAACATTAACCTTGATTAATCTTATATTTTACAAAAGGTCATTTTTCAAGAGCTTTGTAAAAAAAAAAAAAAGATGAGCAAAACAAAAAGCATACATTGTACAGCAAAGATTTAGTATGTTTCATAGAATAAAAAGCCATATGGGGGTGGGTATTGTGGTGTAGTGGGTTAGGTGGCCTCACTTGGGACATCCACATCCCTTATTGGAGTGCCAGCTTGAGTCCTGGCTACTTTGCTTCTGATCCAGCTCCCTTCTAATTTGCCTGGGAAGGCAGCAGATGATGGCCCAAGTGCTTGGACCCCTGCCACCAATGTGGAAAACCCAGATGGAGTTCTGTGCTCCTGGCTTCTGCCAGACCCAGCTCTACCTGTTGTAGGCATTTGAAGAGTAAACCAACAGATGGAAGATCTCTCTCTCTCTCTCTCTCTCTCTCTCTCTCTCTCCCCCCCTCACTCTGCCTTTCAAATAAATAAAACAAAAAAATTGTGCTTCCTGACAACTGTGTTCATCATTCTTTTCCTTAACACTTCTCTAGCACTTATATCTTCTAACATCCTATGCTCTAGTTGTGAATAACTAGTTTACTATGTTATTTTATCTTTTATTATTCTGTAATCAATTAATAATCTGTGTCATTCTTCTATTCTAGAAGGCAAAGCCCTGCCTTGTGGATGCGATGCATGTCTTACATGTACTTCTTCTCCCTCAATGACTAGCTTAGTTTACATAAGACACAAAACAGAAATAACCAAATTAATGAAATCAGTACTGCTAATATTACTAATACTTACTTACAGCCATTTCACTTTCAATGTGTTTTTGTAACGTAATTGGCACACTAGAGCCATACAACTATGATGAATTGTAGATTGTTTTTTAAAATATTAAACATGGCCTTCATATTCAATCTTAGGTGGAAAGCAAACCGCTTAATACTGCCATTTCACCAAGGCCCAGAAATTTGTGGAATCTTGTACAAGGTCAGTTGATTAACAGAGACTAGATATCAAGCTTTTATCAAATGCCTAATTCATCCCAGACTCCTGACTTCAGCATGGTACGCTTTACACAAGTCTATGGAACGACAAAGTCTGAAGTCAGAAGTCAAGTGACAAAGAGCTCATTATGCCTAAAAATCCTGATTCCATAAGTTCACACAGTATGAAAGTCAATCATTTTAAAGACAAGTAAAATGAAAAACTTTTGCCTGAATTTACCAATTAAAATGGTTACTAGATAGGACGACTTCTTTTCAAGAAAAGATGTAGAAAGATGATGCTTTTTAGTGTACGTGCTGCCGAGCTGGGCGTGGAAGATCACGCTTTTTATTTTTATTTTTTAAGTTTTTTTTTTTAATTTATTTATTTGACACATAGAGTTACAGTGAGAGAGAAAGAGAGAGAGAGAAAGGTCTTCCTTTGGTTTACCCCCCAAATGGCCACAACGGCTGGAGCTACCCAATCCGAAGCCAGGAGAGCCAGGTGTCTCTTCCTGGGCTCCCACGTGGGTGCAGGGCCCAAGCACTTGGGCCATCCTCCACTGCCCTCCCAGGCCACAGTAGAGAGCTGGACTGGAAGAGGAGCAACCGAGACTAGAACCTGGTGCCCATATGGGATTCTTGCACCGCAGGCAGAGGATTAATCTAGTGCGCCACGGTGCCAGCCCCAAGATCATGCTTTTTAAAAACACGTGTAGACATGTCAGCTATTCTGTTCATTGTGGGGAGCAATCCGGACTAGACTGAGTTGCTCGAATTAGGACTTATTCTGTGCATCTGCTCTCCCACAATATGGCGCTGGGAGAGAAGTAAACAGCTTCCGCACAGCTGCCTCCAGTTCAACCAATTAACTGTAGGACTTGCTCCTGATTGGAGAGCAGCGTACTCAGCCGAGTTGGGATTGGCGGAGGAGGACTATAAAGGAGGAGAGAGACGGCATGCACCGGGAACATCTATGGGGAACATCTAAGGGAACCCGTGCAGCCCCCGAGAGACCCGGCCGGCGGTGTGCCGCTCCCCTGCGGAAGTGGGGAATGCGGCCAGGGGGAACTGCCCTTCCACGGAGGTGGAAGGGTCCTGTGTTGCTCCTCCACGAAGAGGGGGAGCGACATAATGGTGCCGTGACTCGGATATGAAGCCTAGTCAGGGTCTTGTGTCGTTCCTCCACGAAGAGGGGGAGCGACAGTTCATCAGATTCCAAATATCACAATTAGAAGAAATTACTATTTTTTCTATTGCTTTGTCTTCTAGGTCTAATTCAAGAATTCATTTTCTACAAGAAGTCTTCCTAACTATTCAGCACTTGATCATTGCTTAGCTCTCCTGGCTCTTCAACTGCCTTGCCAGCTGGTGGGCACCAAATACTTAGTCTTCACTGCCATGTGAACATCACACCTCCCTAAACAGAAGGGAAGTTCTTTTGTGTCAGTATCTCTGAATCCTGGCCCATGGCAGGCAATATTTCAGATGATGATGGTGGTGCAATTATAGAAATTATTCCCTCAATTCACATTACAAATGAAAATGTAAAGATTCAGGAAGACCTAAGTGTACTGAAGATAAATTTGTCACCCATTATTAATGGAAGCTTTGGCTTTATCTACAAATGTGAAGGAAGCTCCCTGAGATAAGGGATTCTGATGCAATATGCAACATGAACACCAACCCATCAAGGCCCTAGACAAAAGAATCCTATGGATAAAGAACAAGAAAAAGTTTTGCTTTTTTGGAGGAGCTATTATGCATTGTCAGGGAAATTCTGGAAGGCTTTGTGAAAGCACTGGAGCCAGGTGGTGGCAGAGAAGAGGGTACAGGATGGAAGAGGCTTAGGTGGGAGCAAAGGCATGGGACCTATCAGGGAACAGTGAGTAGTTTGGCTACTTTCATAGTTGTCTTATAAAGTCTTCTGAAAAGAATGAGTATCTGCTACCCTGTCATTCTAACACATCCCTAAGATGAGCCAATGACTGAAATACAGAGTCCTGGAAATGCAGACAAGAGCCAACTTGTGAAGGCTCCTGCATTCCAGGACCTGATCCCAAGTAGCAGGGGCACAGAATGGCAGAAGGAATGATGGGAGCAGGATGAGTAACATGACTAAATTGGGATTGAAAAGAATCACTTTGATAGCAGCTAAAAGGTGGTCTACAGAGAAGATCAGTTAGAGTGAACTACACTAGTATAATGCAATGACTGACTACAGTGAGCTCCTGGCCCAAGGCAGAAGCAGAGGAATAGAGGCAAAATTCATTCTGATAAAACACCTGCTGCACCTTGCAGAACAGATGTAGAGGACGTGACTGCAGCATGAATCAGATGATTCTTTGGTATTTTAGGCTGATTAAACAGGAATGCCAAAAAATTAAAAGAAGAGATGAAGGAGGTTCCAGTTTAGCTGGATGGCTGGCAACTGAACTCTAAATGTATCGAGTCTGAGGTACTGTGGCAAAATCCACTAAGAAGTTTAACATGGGACCGGCACTGTGGTGTAGTGGACTAAGTAAGCCTCTGCCTGTGGCACTGGAATCCCATATGGGCGCTGGTTCATGTCCTGGCTGCTCCTTTTTTTTTTTTTTTTTTTTTTTTTTTTTTTTTTTTTTTTTTTTAGATTTATTAGAGAAGGAGAGAGAGAGAGAGAGGTCTTCCATCTGCTGGTTCACTCTCTAGTTGGCTGCAACAGCTGGAGCTGAGCCTATCTGAAACCAGGAGCCAGGAGCTTCCTCCGGGCCTCCCTCATGGGTGCAGAGGCCCAAGGACTTGGGCCATTTTTCTACTGCTTTCCTAGGCCATAGCAGAGAGCTGGATCAGAAGTGAAGCAATTGGGACTCAAACCGATGCCCATATGGGATGCTGGGACTGCAGGTGGCAGCTTTACCTGCTACGCCGCAGTGCTGGCCCCACTGCTCCTCTTCTGATCCAGCTCTCTGCTGTGGCCTGGGAAAGCAGCAGGAGATGGCCCAAGTGCTTGGGCCCCTGTCCCTCTGTGGGGAAACCCTGAAGAAGCTTCTGGCTTCTGATCAGATCAGCTCCAGCTATTGCAGCCACCTGGGGAGTGAACCAGCAGATGGAAGACACACACACACACACACTCTCTCTCTCTCTCTAACTCTCAAATAAAAACTTTTTTTTTTATTAAGAGACTGAAAAAAAAAGTTAAACATGTCATTTGGATGGTATTCAGGAGAGTGAACCAGACCAGAGTGAAGGAGGGAGCTGAAGCTGTGAGCATGGCTAAAAGGAGGCCGGAAGTGAAATTCTGTTCAACCCAACACTGTGGACTGTGAAGGAGTATCTTCTGGCGGCTATCAGAGTGATCACTCTCAGTTGGGGAGGGAAAGGAGTAAGCTAAAATGAAAACAGTCATGGAGGAGGGGAGAGCAGAGACCACACTGCAGGAGGAGTGGCGGGAACCCACTTCCAGACCCCCGAGTCCCTGGCGTTACCTTCACCTCCACCGTGAATGGTGGAACGCAGGCATTCTCTGCTCTGCCCACTATCACTTCCTCCAGAGGGTCCCATTCATTGTAAGAGGAGACAGGGCAGTCCTTGGGCAGAGGATCAGTGGCCTTGTCATCAGCTGCACAGGAGTTCTGGGAGGAAGCTGTAGCTGCCTGGGTGCTCTGGAAAGTTCGCTGCACCCATCCTGTCACGGTTCTTCCAAGCTTTCAAGAACGAAAACAACAAGAGGTTATTGTGCAGCCCTATAGAATACTTGGGAGGAGGAAGGAGAGATGGGGTGAAAACCCAGCGTAATATGGTCAGACATTTAAAGTCCCTTAGGAGAGGATAAACCAATAGTGCATAGGCATAGTGGGATTACAGGTGATTATCCACCTTCTAGTTCATGTGCATATTGCCTTTTTAGCTATTGTTATTCGCTGTAACTCCTTAAAACTCCTAAGTAGATTTTTGTGTTTGGTGACCATACACCATCATCTAGGCCTCAGATCAGATCTCTGTAAACAAGCTTTCATCAAACTTTCAGCAACTTTTCTAAAGAAAACCACAGAAAGTTGCTTCACAGATCTCTGCCAAGTCCTGCCAGGCGAGAGAGCCTCCTCCACCCTTCAGGATCAAAGGTTACTAACATTAGGCCTTTTAAAAAGTATTAACTTTTACAAATGGCAATGTGGAAGCAGGTGCACAATAGGGCCTTATCCTTCAGAAAAAATCAACTTCAGACTCAGCAATGTTCATCTCTTACATCCACTTCTTGTTCTATGGCACTGAGATGATCAGCTGCCATCTGCTGCATTTTACAGATGGCACACAGTACCCTAGTCAAAATAAGGTTTACCCAGGCACAGATTTGAACAACTCAAAAGGAAATCTAAGAATTGCAAAAAAGTCCTTCAGAAATACAGGTCCTATAAGAGGTGGAGCATGGAGAGAGTCTCAGCCACCGGGCAAACTTCAACCACCCAAATTTCTGCATGCTGTTAAAAGGGGAAGGAGGGCAGCAGGGCTGGAGACCAAAGCCAGAGGGAGAGTGACAGCTGTTCTGGACCCAGCTGCTGGGGAAGCCAGGCTCCCTGAGCTATTCCTGTCCTGAGAGCAAGGGAGGGTCTGCAGGCGCAACCCGACATCCCAGAGAAGTGGAGGGCGGGGCTAGGCAGAAACTCCGGGTTCAGGGCTGAACTTGCTTCAACTCAACTCCGCTTGTGATTCCAGGACTCCATGTTACGGTAGGAGTGAGCCTGCATGGTAGCACTCCGTCCCCAGTTCCCACTTACCCTCTACTCCAGCCACCCCACACGCATCTCCCCAAAGCTCTCCCAACTCTCTGCACACCCAGAGCACTGAACCCCAACAACGCCACACTTCAAAATGGAGCCCCCGGTCTGCAGCATCCCCTCTCCCTGGGTGGAAAGCTGTCAGGTTGAGGAAGACAGCAACCCTTGAGCTGCGGTGGCCCAAAACGCGTAGAGCAACTGTGCCCCCCACGGGCTGGGGCCGTCACGCGCGCCCCCTGCGCGCCCCCTGCCCGAGGGAAACAATGCCAAGTTCCCAGCAGCCACAGCTCTTGAAGCTCGGCCTCCAAGGAAGGGGCCAGGGAGACTCTAGCAATTCTGTCTGGCTAGGGAAAGGCAGGGAACGCGGCGGGCCCGGGAGGGAGCCGCTCTTCGCTCTGGGCGCTGAGCCCAGCAAAAGGGGAGACGCGAGACCGCCAGACAAGGTGGGTGGCGCACGCACCCGAGACCCGATGTAGTGCACCGCCTCGGCGCCGCGGCTCCCGCCACGCAGACACCGCACCCGCAGCATCGCCCAGGTCCGGCTGGTCCACGAGCGGAATGTTCCCGGCGCACGGCCTCGTCAGCCCGAGCTTCCCGAGAGCGCGACCGAAGCGGGTGTACGGGCGCGTGCAGTCCGTGGCCTTTTGTAGCCGCGCCCCGCCCCGGCCTTCCCCCTCCGCCCCATTGGCTGCCGGGAACAGGTGGTGGGCTGCGGAGCACTGGGCCCCGCACGCGGGGCCGCCCCGAATTAGGAACTGTCCCGGCTGTGGCAACCGTGCCGAGTCTCCAGGCTTGCCCTTTTTTAGTTTGTCAGTCCGCTGATGCTTGTACTGCCCGCCACGAGGTCCACTGGCGTCTCAGGGAAAGGGTGTGTGTAACTTCCGACCAAGGACTCTCCTGTGTGCATGGATTTCAAAATGTTTCTGTACATATATGAGGGGGCACTTTAAAAGTTCGTGGAGATGGCGTTCATAGGGCTTATTTTGGTGCCCCCCCCCCAAAAAAAAAGAAAGAAAGAAAAAAAAAAAAAATCCATGCATAGTTTTTTCATAATACGCATTTTCTTGAATTTTTTAAAGACCTCTGTTACTGCTTTAAATGTACGTTTGTGAACTTAAGTATGCAAAACCTGGGTAGTCTTAGTTTTAACTTCAGGTATGCACACTGACTCGGTCCCCTCATTGCACAGTGAAGGAAACCACCTAGAGATTAGCGGTCTTAAGGCAACACCAGGTTTGAGACTTGAGACGGTCTTAGTCTGGAGCTGGGATCCTGCGCTCATCTAGGGCTGGGTTTTCCACCCACCAACCTGTCCGGTGTTCTTTGGACCACTTGACTTTGAAATGCTCTTTGGCCACCTGCCTCTGGCTTGGGAAAGTCAATCATGAAAATAGAGACAAATGTGGGTCAGAAATAAGGGAGGACTACTACTGATAGCTCTTTCCTCCCATTTCATGTATTACAATTTTTGTTTCAACTTGATTAGGATGCTTTTGTTTAAAAAAAAAAAAAAGGTGTGGGTGTTTGGCACAGCAGTTATTGCGCTGTGTGGGATGCCCACCCCACATGGGAGTACCTGAATTCACAGTCCAGGCTCAGCTTCTGATCCAGCTTCCTACTAATATGCACCTTGGGAGGTAGCAGGTGATAGATAGCTCAAGTACTTGGGTCCTTGCCAGCCATGTGGGAGATCCACATGTAGTTTCAGGCTCCTGGCTTAGGTCTAGCCCAGCCCTGGATGTTGTGAGCCTTTGTGGAGTGAACCAGTGAGAGGGAGATATTTCTCTACCTTCCAAAACAGAAACAAAGTCCCCCCCAAAAACAGTAGTTCCCTCATAGTTCCAAGTCTTAATTGCTACGGATTTGTGAAAAACTAGAGAATTCAGTTTAACTTTGAGGCTCCATGAGGAGAGCACATTCTGGTGTCTCAAACTTGATTTCCAAAGTTCATTGATGGAAGGTACCAGG